CTGTAATTGAAATGATTGTCACATAAATACCGGTATAAGTGATGCTAAATAAATTAAAAACACCTTTTGTTCAGTAATTAGTTTTCGGTGCTCTTTGTCCACACAATTAACGGTTGAATTTGAAGAGCATGTAAAACATACGTTAAATTTCCAATGACCCTGATTACCGTAATAGCATGTGTCAGTAGTAGTGCACAAATAGTGATTCAGTGCACCACTGATCAAGAACTCAGTTTCCAAAGACAACTCTAATCCCCAAAGTTTTTATACATCATATGAGTTATGAATACAAATGACTAGTCTTTTCGCGACAAAACAATTCATTAAAAATTACACAAACAATGGAGAAATTAAAACAATTCAAAACATTAAAAATCATTAAATTGTTAAAATCAACATTTAGTTTAACAATGAAAATAAATAAATACAAAAACGCATTCATATAAAGCAAACTGCGACGGGAACTGGCGGTTAGGTTAGGAGAGTTCAAAGCCGGTGTTACTGGCGATGGCGTACCGGAGCTTCTCCCTAAGCGTACTCTTCTTCTGATAGTTGGGAAGTTTCAAGAGATTAAAACACGTCGAAGAAGTGGGCAATCGGTTGATGGGATCCTTGCGCCTAATGGTGAAGAAACCGCGCAAAACACTGCCGACTGTATCGCCCGTATCGTTGTCATCGCTCACTTCGACGCACCGGATGGACAGCGGGGGCTCCAAGTGGGCGAACCCCAGGAGCGGGGGCTTCGAACAGCTCGTGACGAACTTGAGGAACATGTTGTGCTCGTCGCGCGTGAAGTCCTTCTCGAGGATATCCCACAACCATATGATTACTCTGTGATTGTTGTGAAAACCGCCGAAATATTTGGTGTGCTTTCGGAGATCACACAAATCGATGGGAGTGTTGTCGCCGGAGATGAGGCGCTGGAACTCCGGTGTGGAGAACATTGTGAGCCAATCCGGGTTCACAATAGACCGGAAGCCGCGGATGAAGGCGGCCGTCTGCTCGTGGATCTGTGTATGCATCCGGAAGTGTGCCATCAGATGGATGTAACTGATGCGCGTCTCTCTGGTGACGGGTATGGCGCGCCCGCCCGTCACCAACTCGTGCGTCACTATCTGTCCCATACAGTCCTCGTCGATCGAGAAGGTGAGGTCCAGTTGACCGATGTCTCCGTCGTAGTGCTTGATATACGTGAGACTCTTGTAGAGGTCGGCGTCCAGAGACGGCAGCTCATCGATGGACGAGTAGAGCGCCGATTGTTGCTGTCCGAGCACTTGGCTCAGGAAGAACGAGGCGAACGGCACGTCCACTACAATACCCTCGTAGACGGCTTTCCCCAGCATTTTGCCGATGAACTCGAATAACGACAAGTGGTTCTCCTGGATGTGAGACGTGGGCGACGGGTAGAGGCGCTGTTCGGTCGTCACGCGGAACAGACTGAGCGACGGGTCAAACACACGCTTAATGGTGTCCTCGAGGAACTCCTTGAACACCCCGTCCTGATCAATGCCCGCCTCATCCAAGCCCTGCTCGTTCACGAACTTCACGCGAATCACGCCTTTCAGCGAATGCGGCGGAAGGGTTGCCAACTGCTGGTAGCCGTCCTCCACCACTCGCGACCGGTGGACAGTTATGAGCGTCGATTGGGGCGAAGCGCACGCCGATTCGGTCAGTCCGAGCACCGACCTCTCGTTGTTCACGTACTTCCGGAACAGCACTACCCGTTCCTTATGGGGTATAATGTGCGGCACTTTTTGCATCAACAGATGCGCCCCTTTCCGACCCGTCTCCAAGTCCTTCATGAAGTTCGATGTCTTCAGCTCTCTGTCCAGTCGTGGCGTCAGATAAACAAGCGATTAGTTTAATGACAATTCATTAGGGATTCTGGCGTTTAATACTTGATTAGCCAGTGGTCGGTGGGCGTGAACTGTCGCCTACAGTCCCTCTTATACAACAGCATTAGGAAAGCGTGCGTTGAGTTCAAAAGGCTATTCATATTCATTGTCTTGAAATCTGTGCCGGGGATCAGAAAACTAATGATTAAATTCCGTGAATGCAATGCATTTGCAAACAGTGAATACCGATTAGATTATTCCAAATGATTTTAAACACAAATGTATTCAAAAACGATGAGATTGTGATGAGTTCCTCGATAGTGAAGGGCCGTTGGCTTTCATACATCTCCATGTCGTCCAGAATTGTGATCAAATGTGTGGCACAATCGCAGAACAGTATGAGAATCTGGAACTCCGGCGCACAGGTCTTCGTGTGGAGATTCAAGTGATCCAAAAAGGCTTTCATACCGTTGGCCGGACCTAAAGCGCTGATAAAGTGCCACAAATTGGGAAGAATGAGGTCCTGATAGCAAAGTCCGGCCAATATGTCGAGTTTGACTTGAGTTAGCGTATTGAGGGCCGTCTCGTAGAGGTTGCAGATGAGTGCGATTAGTGTGGTCTCAGGACTGCCTAAACGACAGCTCAGCGACGAACCCGACTGTCCGCCGCCCACCACTCCCTGACCCGCTCGGCCTACAGTCAGACTCGCCTTTTCGAACGCCTTCCTCAAGAAGTTACTTCTCGTAGAGTTGACTGAATTCTTAGCAGAAGTGACGCTGAGAGCGGTTCCTGTGGTGAACGAACCGGTGCTCTCGCGTCGAGATAGGGTCAGGGATTTGTCGCTCAACTCGAATAACGGACTGAATATGAGTTGAATGAGTTGTGAACTCCAGAGGTACTGGAGCTGAGACTTGACGTAAACCATAGACTCGTGTAAACTATGGATGAAAAAGTAATTAACACATCAACTGAAGCATAGCACAGGTATGCCGTCATATATACTCCGGTACTAACCCTTGGTCCACATTCTGGGCGAACCAACCGAGCACTGGGTGCCAGTGGGTTAGACTCGACTGTTTGCTCACCACATACTTCTGACAACTTTCCAATAGTTTTGTGATAACACACTATTCAATGAGAAAAATAACGATAAACACCACAACCAGAGGAATCTCTTGAGGATTATCTCGTGACACTCACGATGAAATCAACCATATTGGTAGCCATTGTGTTGATGGGTATCTCGATGAAGGCCAGGTGTATGATGTTAGCCAACAGACACAACGCGTAGTTACCCTCGAGTGCGTTGAACAGGATTCGCGAGTTTTGGTCCAACGATAGGATTTCCACACTTTTCTTGAGCACCGACTCGTTCGAGAGGACAGTCAACGAGTCGGTGGCGATTGTGTTGAGATGATAGACGAGCGCCGGTATGGAAAAGATGTGCAACAAAAACATATTCATCACCGACTCATTGAACTTAGCGGTGATCACTGGCCGCAGAGACAGCGTCACGATCGCAGTCAACGCCGACTTCTTGAGCGTGGGTTTCGTACGCATCAAACCCTTCATCAGTAGGATCTGGAGGTTAGCGTACAGTCCTTTGGAGACCAGACTATTCATCACGTTATTACACAACTGGTTGACCACCGGTCGCAACGGTTCGTACACTTGTGGACACTCTTTGAGAATAACCCACGAGTGGGTCGACGTGAATGTGATCAACATATTGAGGTATAACTGAATCTGTTTGTAGTCTTGCGGTAACTCCGGCTTCAAGTGTTTCAGATAATGGCAGCACTTCCACAGCACAGTCTTCAGCTGTTGGATCCACTGAACGGCCATTTGTTTATTGAAAACCACTGACACGTAACTGATTTGTCGTTCGTCGAGGTCTGGCGGATCTGTTTGGTGATTGTCCGCCAAAATCATAGTCGCGATCATGTATTTACACATCTTCTCGAAGCGCTTCCAGTCCTTGTTGTTGTCGAAAATGAACATCAATTTGCGGATCAACTCGTAGATACGGATCGCGTCCACGTATTTAACAACACTATCGTCGCCGCCATCGATGAGCTCAGCCATCAAATCGTCAAACTCTTTGCGGATCTCATTCTGGAGGCGACGGCGGACGAGGAATCCGCGGACCACCGCCTGTACGGACACAACAAACAAGACATTAACGCCATGAAAGGCATGGGGAACTGATCGCCGACACAGACCTGGATGACAGTGGATGAGTGGTTGAGTCGTCGCTCCCGTTCCCTCTCATGTCTGTGCGCTTTCGCCGACTCCAAGAACTCCTGCCTCTCATCGGCCGCTCCTTTGGCTTTAGTGAACATCTCCTGTGGTTTGTCTGTCGGATGTGATTATCCGCCACTCGTTTCGCCACCAATTGGTCCCCACTATCACATCAGCCACTCTTTGGCTATCATATGAGACACGGATTACAAGCCGTGAATACAACCAAAACTCAATGCAATTGTGTGTGAAATGTGTGAACAATTAGACGGCAATTGAGTCAACGATTCACTCATTGTTTGCATTCAATGTTTGTAAACAAATACTTGTCATTCAGTCGCTTGACGTCAGACTTTTTGGCTCCAGATTTGAATGCATTCTCAACACACGAGCACTGATTGTGTGAATCCAATGCTATCACAAAAACTACAATTAAATTACAACTAAAACAACACGCTTTTAATGCAAAATTACATCCAATGTTTGAATTGCAAACTAAATTTAATAATCAAAAAATAACGGGAAAACCAGTCAAACGTCAAACACTTTTCTCACTACAAAATTGTACAGAATATTCATTGATTACAGCACTACTGGTAGACAGCATTCAATCATCTCTAGTCTCTTGTGTGTGAAAACAGTTGTATTTTATATTCAAAGACATCATAGCGTGGCATCGGATGACCAGTTGGTTTGGATTCGGGGGCGGTAAGAAACAGCCGCCTAAAGGCAACGCCCCGAAAGGCAAGAGTCCAGAGAAAGGTCAGCCGCCGAAGAATCAGCCAAAGAAACAGCCGCAGAAAGAGCCGCAAAAAGTGGGGAAAACGGGTGCAAAAGATCAGCCAAAGGGTGGACAACAGGCGGCCGCCGCCGCCGCTGCGAAAGGGGCGCCCATTCGGCGCACAAAGTCGACGGACTCGTCATTCCTCATGAAAGGCGTGAACACCAAGGAGCACTTCGGCTCCAGACTGTCGTCGGTGAACGGGTCGCCCACCGGGGAGAGTATGTTCGACGTGTGCGCGTATGTCATCCTCTGCCCAAAACACAGCAAAATCCTGGTCTCGCGCGAAGAGAAGTCGAAGTATGTTTGGCTGC